CTAAGTTCCGAGAATAAAAGTTAATCTATCATCAACAGTTCATTGATTCACAACACACGTGTATGTTCGTGATGTAAATTCATGCATGCTTCTCTATTAGACAATAAGAACATACACTAACCCACGAGAGAGACACCTACTATGTGTTTCTCTATGTACCTATTTTTATAACCTCATTACTAAGCACTATTTCAAGAGAATTGTGAAATTCTCTATCTAGAGTAAAATTTACTCTTTCGTCATGACTTATATGCATCTGTAATATAAAATTGAAGTAATTTTAGAGTTGACACTGTTTCTTGTAACTAAGAAATTGATAGGAGAAGTCAAATTGAATGAAGTGTAAAATCGATTACTAATGTTAGATCGAGTTTTCTAAACTGTAATGTAGAAACCCATACTGGATTTTCAGATTGGAAAGGAGAATGGATACCAACTACGCAATTCTTCAAATGTTGAGGATCTTTCATCCATTCATTACGCGCGCCACTCATTTTATACACATATATATATATGAATTTTAATACAATGGATGAAAATTTATATCGGAAAAAATTTTATTTTTATATTATAATAATAATTCATGTTTTAATTAATAAAAATATAAATTTATTAGGTAAAGATATGAATTAATTTGATTAAATACTTATTAAAATCTAGAAAAACTTTTATTTGATAATAATAAAATTAAAAAATGTGATTAAAATACAATTAATATATAAAATAATTATATTTCCAACTGTGAGTATTACACGCACACCCACAGTTGCCAATTGGTTCGCGCAATAAATAATTATATTAATAAAATAAAATAATTAATTAATTGCTTAATTAAAGAATTAACAATCCGCCTAACGAACAAATCTTATCCTAACTGGCTAGCTACACGTCACGGATCCAATCATCCGAAATTCGAATATTTCCTATGCTTACTACTCCCCTTTCTATAATAGAAAAATGTAGATATCAATTTGTTACCGTCGATTAAAATATATCAATCTTGAATAGCAAATCCAACGGTTATTATTTAATGGCACAAATTCATTATTCTACAACTTGAACATATTAGCATTAGCGCAATTTTATTTAACAGACATGCGGATCAGGCCTTCATTTTATCAACCTGACGAAATTCCAGACAAGTCCTCGGAAAATTCGGTTGGGATCTCTCGCGTCCGCCTTCTTCCTTCTTTCAACGTTCTCGCGTTTTCTTTGTGCTCTTTCCCTCTGGCCAAACAGCTTTGAATTCTCACTTCTTTTTTGCTGGAAATGGAGATGACCATGGAGGATTGCTCCTGCTCCATTGTTTCACTGCTTCTCTCCATGGCTCTGGCGGCTTTCTCTCGTGGTGTGCGGACTCGACGGTTTGTGAAGAATCCTATACCAACTATGCCGCGAATATGTGGAGTTAGGTTTTTCTGAAAGAATCTCTTGTTACATTTTGGAATTTTTTGTTTGTTTGTTTGGTTCTTGCTTGTTTTTCTATGTTTTGGACCTGGAATCTAAGGAATTCGAGTGAAAGATCGGTTGAGTATTGTGGAGCTCTGTGAGTTTTTTACTGGTAGTTGGTGGTTGCAATGGTGAAATTAGCTTTCTAGTTCTGAATTTTACGTTTTCTGGAAAATTCTTTTGGAATTTCAGCTCCTTAGGGTTTGATGTGTTTTTTGGAAGATTCTTGAATTTCGGAGTTTGGATATGCTTAGTGGAATTTACTAGTGGAGTGTTGAGGTTTCGATGAGCTTTTTACGAAGTTTGAGTTCTTTGGGGTTTACTTGGTTCTTGATAGTTCTCTGGGAAGCTTGAAAATGCTAAACGGGAATTTGAGTTTTTTCGTGTTTGAATAGAAAAAAGAAATATACATATCAAGTTGGAGGAACTAGAAAGTTTAACGTGAATTGAACCATTTGGCGTGAAAGTTTGAATGGCGGGAAGGAGGGTTTTAGGGATTCCAAAGACAAGTGCCAGTAATTTGAGGGAACAGTTGGCAAGAACTACACTTAAGAATGTGAGAGCAAAGGGGCACCCATATGTGGAACTCCGTGAAGATGGTAAGCGGTTCGTATTCTTCTGCACTTTGTGTCTTTCACCATGTTACAGTGACTCAGCACTGTATGATCACTTACGAGGGAATCTTCACAGGCAGAGGTTGCCTGCTGCCAAGATTACTCTGTTTGGATCAAATCCTTGGCCTTTCAATGATGGTGTTCTTTTCTTTGACAATTTGATGGAGAATGAAAAACAATTGGCTACCTCAGATGGTGACAAGTGTGGTGAAAATTTTCAAGCCAACTGCCAAAGTCATGATGGAGTTCACGCTAGTGATGAATATAGTCTCTGTGCAAAGAATTTAGATGAAAATGAAGGAAATTGTTATCTCGTGATTCCAGGTTTGCTAATTGAGGAAAATGTCTCTGATATAAAAGTAAGGTTCACTGGTTTTGGACGGATTGCTGCCAGATCCTTTCAGAAAGATGAGAGCCAGAACGGAATTAAAAAAATATGGTGTGAATGGTTGGGAAAGAGGTGTGCTGATATGTCTGGAGCCCTTGAGCATGACTTTGCTGTTGTTACTTTTACTTACAATTACAAGTTGGGTAGGAAGGGGTTGGGTGAGGATTTCAAATATTTGCTCCCATCTAGTCCGCTGGAAGAATTAGAATATGGGGAGGGTAATCATAGGAAAAGAAAGAAATCATTTTCTGACCCTGAGGATATTAGTGAATCTTTCAGGAATCAGCATGACTCATCAGAAGAAGATAGCAGCTCTTCAAGATTGTTGGTAGATGGATGTGATGACCCCCGTGCGTTTACAAGAGCTATATCAAGCAAGAGTATGAGACGAGAGTTAAGGCGACAGCAGCAGATATTATCTGAAAAAATGTGTGATCTCTGTCAGCAGAAGATGCTTCCTGAGAAAGATGTTGCAGCAATTTTGAATATGAAAACGGGAAAACTTGCTTGCAGTAGTAGGAATGTCAATGGGGTAAGTAACTCAGTTATCTGCCATCGTGATTGCTTTTTTTTTTCCCAGGGGATTGTTTGGGGGTTGTTACTCTGGAATAAACTTGGTCTTCTCTCTTTTGTATCCACATAATGGATGTCTCTTATTATTATTGTTATTTACTTTGCCTGATTCAGCATGTGTACACAATTTTGATTGTTTTATTAAAAGGAAAAGGTTCTGATTTGCTAACTTTGTGTTATTCTTCCACATTTAGGCATTTCACATGTTTCACACATCTTGCCTTATACACTGGTTTATTCTTTGTGAGCTTGAAATTGCCACAAGCCAGTCAGTGAGTGTGAAAGAGAGAAGAAAATATAGTAAAAAGAGTGGAACCAAGCAGGGTGAGATGGGAAAGAATGGAGGTTCTGAGGGGACCATAGCAAATATTGTTTCTGTATTCTGCCCAGAGTGCCAAGGTACTGGAATAGACATTGTAGGAGATGAACTGGAGAGACCAACTGTCCCACTTTCGCAGGTTTGTGCTTTATCATACCTATTTCCGTGCTATTGAAGTCCTGATATCACTAATTGATGTTCTTATTTTGCTCTACTTCTATGATTTCAATATCTGGCTTTGCATGTGGTGTGAAAAGCTCTGAAAGAACTTCACAATTAGTTTTATCTTTTCAACTGGCAGAAAATTATGGTGATTGCCAGCACATTAGTGGTTTTAATTATTGTAGTGGTCATTGATTTTCGTTGAAAGAAATAAAAATTTCAGATAAATAAACAGTGCCATTTATGACAAGACTTCAGTTTTTTTTTTTTTGGGGGGGGGGTGGAAGATTAAAATGTTAAACTGTAGTTATTCTCTTTCTAAGCTATAATGGTTTCGTCCATTGTACCAGATGTTCAGATACAAGATCAAAGTGGGTGGTGCACGTAATGCATGGATGGAAGACCCTGAACATTTGGAGAATTGCTCAGTTGGTCTCCATTTTCCTTTCCAATCTGAAGATCCAGTACAGGTTTTTACATTGTGATTTAGGAAAACTCGTTCTAACATTAATAATCAATTTTATACTTCAATCATTCTGACTTTTCTTATCAATTTCTTGGTTACAGGAAACAGTGTCAACCCTAAAATTACTTCGATTCTATACTGCAGGTGCATAGAAGTCATGACCAAAGAGTAGATACCTGGTAGATTTTTTACTCTAGATGGAGAATTTCACAATTCTCTTGAAAAAGTGCATAGTAGTGAAGTTAGGAACAGGTGCATAGAGAAGCACATAGTAGATGTCTCTCCCATGGTAGTTGTATATTCTTGTTGTCTAACAGAGGAGCATGCATGAATGAATGTACATCGCTGACATGTGCATGTGCTGTGAATCAGTAGAGTTTGATGACAGATTGACTTTTATTCTCGGAACCGAATTCATTCGTTATCCTCTTTAAAATCACCGATATCATTTTGTATCGAACACAGATTTCACATGGTGATGATATATTTTTGGAGAGGGTGGTATTGATCCTACCACATGTTCCATCTTTGTTGCTGACATCTTTGTTCCTGGCTTTTGTTTTTTGTTTTCCTAAAGGTTTAAAAAAAAAAAAAAAAAAAAATCAAGAAGTTTGATTTTGAAGAGAGTATATTATGATTGACAATGATGTGTTTGTTTTATTCAGTTTTTAAATCAATTTCAGGTATTTAAATTTATAATTTTATAATAAATAAATAAATTGAAAGAAATTAGTTTTATTAACTAATGGTATTTTAATTAATTAATTTTTTTTTTAAAATTTATTTTAAATGCTTATAGTTAGAAATATAATTAATTGTATTTTAATTTAAATATATTATTATCAAATAAAAGTTTCTAATAAGTATTTAATCAAATTAAACGCAATAAAATTTAGACTTAAATTTGAACTTGATTTATTTAAAATTCAGTTTTAATTAAATTGATTACTTAAATTCGATTTATTTCAATAATACTATTACGAATCCTACCCGTAATTTGTCAAGTTAGAACTAGTGATTAGCATCGGTTTGGACCCTGAACAAGAATGGGAACAGACTGACCTGAACGATTCGGATTAAAAATTAGAATCGGATTGGTCCAGTTTGATATGGACTGAGAAACTTAAATTAATTTTTTTTTAAAATTTGTTTCTCATGAAAAAAGAAAAAGATTAGTAAATACATGAATCTTTTAACTATGGACTGCATAAATGTGTAAGGAGGAGAAGGAGAAGGAGAAGAGGCAGCTAACGGTCAAGAAGAGACATACGCAGAGAACGTCGAAACCCGAAAGAGGAAAAAAGAGTCTAGACTTGACCTGAAAGTCAAAAGAGGAAAACAGAGAACTCTGTTTTTCAAGGTTTAGAGTTAATGCAAGATATATATGTATGTATTATCAGTTTGCTGGTATCTTTCTAGAAACGAAAACAATCAATCTTTTTATAATCAACCCTAAATAATCAAAAGAAGAAAGTAGAAAGTTCCTTCCTGGTCCGATTTATTCAATGATGATACATGATAATGATAATCAATTGCTAACGAAACGCACTTTATCACGATTTTCGGACTTCCTACTTTTTTCCATCATTAAATTTGATAGCCAGTTATTTTTTAACGAATTAAACAGCAAAAACCAGTGAAAGCAAACGATAACTTCTTATCATACCAAATCAGTACTCAATTTTCAATATTATACCAACATCAAAATAGTTCAAATTCAATCTGAACAATAAAATTCAAAATTCGTACTAGAAAGAAAAGCTATCCAGAAAAGAAAAAAGTTATCTATTATATATAAATCAATCAAGCAAAGATTATATAACCTGCAAAAAATCCAAACCGATTCAAATCTTTACATCGAAACGAATCCTACACGAATCAAATCCAAAAAGAAACTATAAAGAGAGGATGAAAATCAAACCACCGATGCAAAAACACAGAGAGAGAAAGAAGAAAACGGAGAAGAAATCATCTATCAACGCCTAATGTGTTTGACTTTGTTCCATCCTTTCTTGCACGACTCACCGACAATCTTGAAACCTTTCTTGAAGAGAATCTTGAGCTCTTTCGCTCTCTCCTTCACCTGCTCCTCGAAACTCGCCATGGCCGCAGACCTTCGTCGAGCGAAATTAAGAGAAAGAAGAGACGAAAATCCTCCGAGAGAGAAAATGGCTTGTTAGGATTTTGAGAAAGTCTTGGGGTGCGGTTTGGTTTTTATAGTGGAGAGGAAACGGCTAGAAGAAGTAGAGAGTCGTTGGAGGTTTTTAAGGTTCAGCAGATTATATAAACCGTTGGATTAATAAATATACACGTGGCGAAGATCTAGTGGAATACACGTAGTTAGTTTTTGACATTGTTGGATTCCACGTTGATTGCGGTGTAAGCGTGATGTGATTGGTTGATTTTTATTCCCGTGTCTGGGGCCCAGCTGGATTGATATTTGTGACAACTTGTCTCATTTTAAAATAGGAAACTTTTTAAATATTTTTAATCTAAAAAGATAAAAATAAGTTATTTTTTTACCAAATATTTTTCTTGGTTCATAAATATAATTATTTCCTTAAAATTTAATTATTATAATATTATCTCAATAAATTAAAATTTTATTTTTATTTAATTAAATATTAAAAATTAATTATTAACGGTTCATAATACATTTATAAAATAATATATAAAAATTTTAATCATCAAACTTTTGTGGTATTAATAATATATATAATTTATTTAAATAACGAGTAACTAATTTTAAATAGTAATAATACATATTATAAGATAACAAAAATAAAATTTTTAAGACTGAAAATAAGAAGTATATAATAATTTATAAAATATATTAATTTTTATTAAATATAAAAATTAAGTAATTTTTATATAATCTTAAATTCAAAATATTAAATATTTTTTTATTAAAAATTTATAAATTATAATTATTATTGTAAAGAAAACTTTTCACATGTGCCAATTTCCTTTTTCCTAATAAAAAGTTGAAAAAGTGGTAAAGTGTAATTTTAAGGTTATTAAAAGTAGATTACATAAAAATTAATTAAACTAATTAAAATTATCAAAATAAATATAAATTAGTCAATTTACTTAAAATTATCAAAATAAATTTATTTGTTGTCAGTACATTTTATCTGATTTATTTTATTAATAATGTGACATATATACATATATATATATATATTAACTACAACATAATTTTTTAATGAAAATGTATAAAATTTATAGTCTAATTTATTCCCATATATGTATATATGTATATATTGTGTTTTAAAGATGATGGATGACAAAAGAAGGCGCCAAACATCCAGCACAGATCATTGCATGTGCCATAAGCAGAAGGGGAAAGCAAAAAAAAAAAAAAAAAGTGGTCTGAGAAAAATTTAACCAGCTGGAAGTAGCTCATACAAGAATCAACTTCTTTCAAAAAAGTAATACATATGATTCCAAACCAAACCAAAATTCTGGGCCACCACACCTGCAATCAAGGCTTACAAACTTTAGATTGCAATCCTGTTTTTTCAGTTTTTGAATCTAAAGTTTTTCGAAAATAATTCACGAGTACGTTGATTGTATGTAAAATATCAAATTTAACAAAGAAGAAAAACGGAAAAATATTTATAAGGTCTTCTGGGTAAAGTTTTTGAAGATGAACCTTCGAGAAATACGTAAGTTTTACGGAAAAAAGAAGGCGTTAAGATCTTTACGTAGTCCTCTAAACTATAATCTTCGCATAGGATGAGATGATTCTTCAGGAAAATACGACGGGTGAGTTCTGGTGTGACCCAGATAAAAACCCAGTTAAACTTGCCTGTGAATCAAGCTAGCAAGAATTGGGGCCACAACTCCTTTTTCGGAATATTCATTAGATATAGTCCAGTCTGCTGGCATTACTTACAGAAATTCCAAGCATTATTGCATTTAGGTGTAACAGAGGAAACCAAATGATTACTAGGGCTGAGTCAGGGTCAGAGGAGAGGAACAAAGTGTCCTAAAAATACATTTTTCTGGGCTAGACATAATTGTGTCTGTCCCCTTAAAATCAATACTAGCTTCTTTGTGCCAGAAGTAAAGCTGAATGTGTGAGTAGGGAATTGCTGTATAAGCATCTGTCTACTCACAATAATCATTATGCAATGTGATAAATTAAAAATTAAATTAAAAAAAAAAAGACACTAAAATCTATGTAATTCAGTTAAGATAACCTACTTCATCGAAAGAGTCCGGATTCTCTAGGAAGATTTCTATGTTAACAAGAAAATATTGTAGGGATCATGGAATTGAACAAAGGGTCATTGGCTGTATGTGTGTTACATGGATCTGTGTGTTTGCGGATCTAATTCTCAACATGTATGTTTCGAACCTTGTTTATGATTCCAATCAAAGAAAAGGAAGAAGATATCAGAGAAAGAGAGAGATTGGATTGCTTTTAAGGTAAATAGATTTTTTTATGCCTTTCATTCACAGGCATCATGGCTATTTATAGGCTACAAGTGGCAGGAAATGAAAGTGCATAACCTCTAGGCGTATTGCAACAGCCCAGCCTGTAACCAAATCGGGCTGTTGAAACTAGGTCGGTTAAGGGTCCCGATTGCTCAACTTTTCTACGTACCATTTCCAAACCCAAACCCTAGTTGCAGTTGTTACAATGAAAAAGAGCAAACTACCCTTGATTTCTTACAATGTTACTATTGGATCATCGATGAGATAGCATCAGTCCGATGGATGGTTCGATGATCCAGAATCAAAGTAGGCATAAAGAGAGGAAAAGTAAAGAAAGTAGCTAAAAATTTTAGTATCTAAGATAATATGTTATCAACAATGTCAAGGCATTATACAGGGAATGAATTAGAAAGGAAGAAGTTAAATTTCCAGTCCAACAGTATGAGGATCCTAAGACACATCCAATGATGAAGAGTTGTATGAAATTCTCACCCGAGAAGTGTGCGCCACTGAAGATGGCTGAGCTAATGGCGACTGCGTGAAACCAGCTCATTGTCGAGGAAAGAGATGTCAAAAGAAAGCCTCTATAAACAGTTTCTTCAAGGACCGGAGTGATAATACAATAAACGAGGATACAAGCAGCTCTGGCTATGTCACTACTTTGGAGGATTTCCTTCACTATGGGATTGTTCACAGCCTGAAAACAAGAAAAGAAATTCACTGGTGAACAACTATTGAACCAAATGAAGTTCGTTCAGGTCATGAATGGCAACGATAATCCGAGAGAGTTTCTATACCTTCTTAGTTGGACTAAATATGTACTTACAAATAAAGTTTACTAAATTTATATATTTTTCTAGACATAGCGTAATGCAGACAACACTGGACCAAATTGTATATAATAGACAGAAAGCTAACAGAGGATGAGAGAATTTCGTTAAACGAACCTTGGCCTCGATAAATGTGTCAATAAGGAGAGAAGATAGGAAAACCAACAATATGAGAAAGCTCAACCCTAATGCTGAAGCCAACACCAAGTTCCTCTCTTCTGAGATGTTATGCCTAAAGAAGTGTGCAAGCTTATATTGCGGCTTAATGGTATTCTTCAGTAACAGCAGAGTACCAGCTAGTTCTAATATTTGCATTACAAGCAGCGACAGGACCTATGTTGAAGATAAGGTCAATCATCAATTCACAATTCTAGATAATCAGCATCTATATTTGAAACATTGCTAAAATAAATTAAAATGAACATTGCTTTGCTAATTATATCAAGCTTGTGGCTGGCAATGTACCAAAACAGAAAGGATATCTGAACTTGCTTTTTTTGATTGAAAAATGCAGGAAAATAGTAAAGTTAGGCTTAAGTGATGAACATAAAAATGACAATGTATGAAAAGAGAAAGGTTATTCGATTAATGCCTTGTAGTAACCCACAATCAAAGCTCTTAAAGCTTATTAAGCATTATTACTGTGCTGCTTGGTTCGGATATAAGCACTTTGAAAAGATGCTGCTTGGTTCGGATATGAAAAGTTGGCAGCCAAATTCAAGTCACATGCACCTGCTCGTCTAATCCAGTGATAAAAAGAAGTGTAAAAAATATTCTCCCAAATCATATCACGCTTGTGATGGCATATACATATACATATACATACAAATATACACAGACATATAACCTTATATACTTGCTTTTGATTAAAAGAATGCAAGAAGATAGTAAACTTCAGTCAAAATGATGAACACAGAGGACAGTGTATCAAGACAGCAAGGTTATTTGATTAATACCTTGAAGTATCTCATAATCAAAACTCTCAAAGTTTATTAAAGAGTAATCTTAGCTAAGATGCTGGGCTCGGATTAAACACTTTGAAAAATTGTCAGCCAAATTCAAGTCATAGATACACCATACCCCTCTAATCCAGTGATAAAATGGACTACTCACTCGTCATTGGGCTGTAGTAGCAGATGCAATAATCGATTTGCTCAAAAAGCAACATCTATAACTCACACCTAGAAATACTCCAACAATAGCGCATACAGGCAACCATGCTGGTTGCCCCTGTTACTCATTTTCATAAAAGGAAAGACAAATTGAGGATATGATGTAAGTATAAAAAAATGATTGGTTATGTCTCCTTTTATTCACTAAACTAGAATATGATGCACAAATGGAGGAAAATAAAAGCACTCACTTGACTCTGTGGATCAAGACCAGCAGGTTGGTGCAGTACATAGGCGGCAATGGATAGGCCTCCAACACCAAAAGGAATATGCAGATAGAACATATATAGAGCCATAGTGCTCCATACACTTCCATTATCCCACGGATTATTATCTGATTCCAGTACAGAAAACCCCTGCTTCTCCATATCAAAGGGTAAAATGCAGAAATTAACAAACCCATCTTAGCAATTTTACTAAAACCTATTTGCAGAGTCTAAAAGAGAAAAAATTTCAGACGCACCAACGTTTTTCGAACAGAAACCCTAGTTACCAAATCCCTAAACCCCCTATCAAAGAGTAAAATGCAGAAGTTAATAAACCCATCTTAGTAAATTTACTAAAATCTATTTGCAGAATTTAAAAGAGGAAAAAGTCAGACGCACTAATGTTTTTCAAACAGAAGCCCTAGTTACCAAATCCCTAAAGAAATCCCCAAATGGTTTTAGACATTGACAAAGATGAGACTAATAATTCATGAAAAAACAAATTATATGTACCTTATCTTTGGAGGGTGTCTCTGCGATTTCATTTTTGAAGCAGCAATACTTGAGAGAATATTTGAGTCGTAACTTGGATCTTGAGGGGAAGGGAGAAGCCCGTGAAGGAAGAAGAAATGGCGGTTTATTGTAAGCGCAGGAAATTTTCTCGGGAAGAGGATAGTGATGCCAAAAAACCAGCATTGCTTATTTCTAGATAATTATATGTACACACACACACACATATATACATACATATGAACGTGGGAACACGTGCGCGAGACACTACGATGAGATATTCCGATACGCTAAGAAAATTGTCCCATCCAACTTGATCTAAAAATGAAACAGACATTTCATCTTCAATCTGATGAGTTTGGTATGGTTCTATGCAATGCTGCAATTCTTTTCTTCTCCATATTGTTATCATAAATCTAATGCCTGCTTATGCAGTATATACATTTTATATCTAGTGCGTACTTGTTATTTTAAAAATCAAACATGATTATCACAACCTCGAGCTTTTCCCTCGCTGGCTCCATCTTCGAATTGCGGTCATGGCGGTGGGACGGGATCGCCGAGCACACCACCATGACGGCTATTTTCTTGGCCGCAACACTTATTTTTACCTGGTATATCATGTTGATAATTCTCAGAACCAGTCAAGGTAAAAATCACCATGGCCAC